TCATCAGAGAGTTTTATGAAGTGGAAGATAGCTAGCTGCCAACGGTGATGACACAGATGAACACTAGATATATATATATATATATGTATGTATGTATGGGCTTGCCTCTCTTCTTTATTCTAAAACTTTTCTCTCTCTCATCACAAGACCTGCACTTCAACTATTAACGGTCGCATCATCCATAATGTTACTGTCAAACTTTCGTTTCCATTCTAAACTGCAAAAATGTTATCTGTACTGCAACTCTTAGAAATTATATTATATATGTATTCTTCATATATGCTGGGTAAAATGCAACTGTGGAGTGTGTGTAAGGATCATTTATTTATTTATTGGTAAATAAGGATCATTTATTTTTAATGAGACAGGTTTATGCATGAAGTGTAGGTGCATGAACGAATGCATTATAAAGAAGAGTGGTCAAAGGGTCAGCAAAAGACAGTATCTGAATGTGGTAGCTCCACTCCTTTGTATTTGCCCCAAAAAAAAAAAAAAAAAAAAGCTCCCCTCCTTTATTTAATGTCTGATCTTCTGCTAAAGACAATTCCCATGTATACCTCCACCAAAAATCGCCTCATCCTAGGACTCCCCTCTATGTATCATCAAATTTTTTCATCTTTTTCAGACAAATCTGTGACATCGCTTTATTTTTTTACTTCCAAAATAGGATGCTATATATATATATATAACACAGTAAATGTGCGGTAGCATAATCTTGTTTCAACCCTACTCTTGTTGAGAATAATTTCTTTGGTTTCTCAGCCACTAACCATTTTTCAAACAACTGATTGGAGCAAAAAAAAAAAAAATTCATGCGTAAAAGATAATCACCATCGACGTACAAGCACGATCCATTCTCATTCGAAGCAATCCCCACTGTGATAGGAATAATTTGATAAAAGACATTAAAAGTGTGAATGCCCTGTAAAGTATTAAAAAAGTGTCCCCTTTTTCATAAATAAAAAGCACTGGACTGTATTATATATTTCGAGTCCTTTCAGTTCATTGCCTTTACAGATGTTTATATATGGCTTAAATGCTATAGTTTCAAGCACTGTACAAGAATATAAGAATAAGATCGAATACTGGTATATACACACACATAAGAGCTTCATCAAACAACATGGACATTCATCTCCCTCATTCCAAGAATAAGATCCAATACTGGTACAACTGCTAGCTTTATCAGTCAGTGCATTTATAAATCCATAGAGATAAGAGTGACAGACAAAATCACATGAAGGGCTTAGGAACAAGCATCAAGAACAACGACATGACAATGCCATATGTTTGGAGTGATAGGCTTTTAAAGAGATACGGCTTGGGAATATTTTGGACCGAAAGCTATAAGTGAATGGGAAGAGAGGGGACCATAAGATCTCAAGGCACTGCTCTTTGAGTATCTTTGCCTTTCTTAATTAAAGAATAGCATATGGGTTTGTTCCCTTCATATATATATGTGCATTAATACTGTATATATGTCCGTGTTCTCCTATCAGAATACTAAAGATCCAGCCATACCTTGCATGTTACTCTCCAAGTATTCACTCTTTCTGCAAATAGGCTTTTCTGTTTCCATCCTTATCTCTATTTGGCTAGCTAGGCACCAAATGGTATTAAAAAAATTGGATTGAATACAAGACCAACATGATCAGCTTTCCTAGCTACTACTATTTGTTCCATACTCTGATGTTCCAAAAAGAAAATATCATTTTCAAGTTAAACAACCCTTCTACATTTCGTGTCTTGTCTATAATAAATTATTGCTCGTGATTAATAATTGTTATGATTTCTAATGATAAATATATGATGAGACAAGCAAGTGATGATATTTAAGCATGTGTCTCCTTATGAAGTCATTCATCTATGTTGAGTTCCTTCAAGTTGCCTTTGCTGTTAGATGTCAGCCTTAACCTGTTGGACCCCATGTCGAACAAACACACATGTAATGTTTCATAACAAAAATGTTTCAATGTAGATTTGACCATTTGGAGAACTTATCTTAATTAATTTTATTACATTTACTACTTAAGCAATTTAATTATACTACTCGAATGGACGTTTTCTTTTTATTTTGAATGATTATGTGATTGCAGAATAGGTCCCTCTGTGACGCATGATTGAAATATGTACTTGGGAGTAAAGTATGGTGGGGAACGAGCAAGTCCTTGAATAATATGATTATGACTGGTTAGGTGTGAGCAAAGTCAATTTGATTTTGAGAGGGCCAGCTATATTGTGTGATTTTTATGATATTAAATAATATAATAGATGTATGCTTAAAGAAGGGTCTTTATATCACTGAAGTACATCAGATCTTGTCAATATTAGATTTCTCGTTTTTTCACAAGAGATTCTCGGAAAAAAGGAGCGTCCAATAATGATCTGTAATGGGGAAATCAAAGTCCACACTCCAGAAGCCTTGAGAAGAACACTTCCGAATCATTCAGTCAAGAGAAAAAAATAAAAATAAAAATGTGTAACAGATTAAGATCACTATGCTTGCTTCTCTCTGCTGTGATTCCCTATAACTAAACATGTTACCACGAACATGTGAAGATTCACACGTAAAAAAACAAGAAAAGAAAAATTGGCCTTTTGTGATAGTCTGAGACTGAGGGTTCTGTGAGTCTCCAAGTGGTTTCTGTCAAATTTTCCTTCGGCTTTTTCCATAGCCTAATATGAAAGCCCATCTTCAATAAGTTATGGTTGGTTTTCAAAAAAGAAAAAAACTTCTCATTTAACCGTTGGATCTCTTTGAGACAATAAAACAAAAAAAACAAAAAAAACTATTGGATCTATTGAAGATGGGGTTGATTTAGATTTGAGATTGGTTATGTTCACCATTTATCTATCTTTGCTTTTGAAGGTCTGGTTTGGTTGTAAGTGCTTAATACTTATTTATTTATTTATTTTTTTTGCATTGAAGTATGGCTGCATGGGTAAAAGCTGTCCTAGCTAGTCTTCACTAATTTAATACATGAGCCTCGATCCAGAAGATTTTTTTTTTTTTTTTTTTTTGGAAAACAAGTCAAATACAAGAGAGATTGCATTCAAGCACCAATTGCCAGAAGTAATAACCAAATGATCAAGTGGCATGACTAAACTTTCGTATCTCAGCCATGGCATCTCCTTAATTAGAAAAAATAGCAATCAAGGACCATCGATTAAAACTTATATAAATCAAAGATCGATAATTGTCAAAACTTGAATAAATACTTGTTGATTCAGGTTAATCTTTTATCAATAAATATCCATTTGATTTTAACAATAACTCATTCAAAATTAACAACAAGCTATTCGAGCTTACTTTTTATTTAAGTTTTAATAATAAGTGGTCCTTGACTAATATAAATTTTGTTCAAGGGTTCTTGATTGCTATTTTTCCTACTAATTATCAATAGGATTTAAGTTACACCTTACTCCCCCTTTTTGGCTATACACCAGAATTCCGAGTCCAACTCGCAAATATGATTACGGTGCAAGAGCAATATACATGAGTTGATATGATTCTTATTTTATGGTTCCAAGAATTTGGAATCTTTATCTCTACTTATCCCTAAGAACCCTGACCAACAGATAAAACACTATTTTTCCCCTTATTTTTTCTGTTTTGTAAGCTCCCTGTCTGTCTATCATCAAAGGAAGATTCTCTGTAAAATCTGCATTATGCTTTTTGCAAGAGATTGCCGGGACCATGTGTGAGTGAGTAGTCTGATTCAAGGGGTCATGAAGAGTCATATTTTCCTTCCATGCCCAAAAATCTGGGACCTCTCCTCTTGAAAGGCAACTGCACTAATAATTCACAACCAACATGACTCAAATTTTAGACCTTTTAGTGCGTTTAGGTTTAGGACCACTTCTCCACAGTTGACAAGTTCTGTTACCATGAAAAAACAATGAGAATCCAACAGTTTTTACTATCATATTTTTCAGAGAAACAAAACGCAAGGGGCTTTGCCCTAAATGATAGCCCATGTTGTAAGTGCACAGCTTTATATTGAGACTTGAGAATGAGACTAAATTAAGGAGCAGCTTTCGGAGTAGAGGGAGACAGAAGAAAAGGTTTGAAAAAGACAAAAAGAAAACCCTGTTCAAGAGTCCACATTCCTGACAACTTCATTCCACGGCATTTCATTTTGTAAGTAGTCTTTCCTATAATATTGACCTCTTATTAAAAGTATCGATAGTAAAATTATAAAACCCATCCCACAAAACTAGTATTGGGTGGAAGAATTCCTTTAACTTACAAACCTTGCTCCACTTTGTGAGATTCACTGTGAGACTTGTGAAAATGTCATGTGTGCACCAGCCTCACATTAGTGGTTCAACTATTTGATTTGTTCTTCGAGTCGATTTACATGCATCTCAACTTTCTTTCTTATTCACATTTCTTTGTTTGATTGGAAGTAAGACTGTTATTCACATTAGACTAATTCTTTGTGCCTTAAAATTTGAGCCAAAATAATACACTTAATTACATTCAATTTTACCACAAACCCTAGATATCAGGGATATGGAATTTTATGAATACAGAATTGTTCTGGGTTAACATTACAAATTCAGCTGTGCACGTCTGAGTAGAATTTGCATGAAAGTTCAGTAAGTAAACTGATTTGATCATTGAGAATATGCTGCTGCAGTTTCTTTTCTGTCGTGATTCTTTTATTTTCTTCCACCCATTTTATATGGCTACACTGAAGATATTTACGATAATCTATCTTCATTTGTCAATTTTTTTCTTTTCTTATTCCTTTCTTCTTCAAGCCTCTTGACGCTTAACAAAATCAATATATTCGAAGTTCAAATTCGGAGCCAGATTCATCAGACTTTTGGGGAATTCAGATTCGTTCCATATTCATTTAAAAGCACCAGCAAGCACACTCCAACAGTATATGAGCTCGTGAGTGAGAACAGAACAGCGATGGCATCATCATCACCATCACCATCATCAAATTCTATGAGGAAAGGGAAGGATTCAGAGTGATGCTTTTGAACAGAGGAGGCTCTGGCAAAGTATTACGAGGATACACCAGAAAGATGGGAGAATGTGGCAAGAGAAATTCGTGGCGGCAAATCTGTTCAAGTTCAAAGACACTATCAGATCCTCTTGCGCGATCTCTCACACATTGAATCTGGACGCGTTCCCATTCTCAACTATAAATCTCTGCCCAGATTACTCGCAGTCTATATCTTCTTCTGCAACGTTGTGCTCATGCTAGTCTGGTCTCTAACTTTATCTGCAACTAAAGTTCTTTTGATTGATCAAGAAATCATGCTTTGCTTTCAAGCTATGAGTTTTTCAATTATGATGGTTATTTTAGTCAATGGTTTCTGTTATATGATATTGTTTCATTTTGTTTGAAGTTACTGTCACCATTACACTTATTTTTAATCTTGATGATACCATGCTCATGTATACAGTTTTTTTGTTGTTTGCATCAACTCGAAGGCTTTTGAAGCATCTGAGGTTGAATTGATTGGAGGCAGGGGCCATGAGTTCTCGGCAGCAATATATTTGGTTTCCCTTGAAAAAATTATCACTGTAATAGGTTATCACATGCTCCAAACACTGTAAAAATTATCATGTTTTCGTGTAAAAATGGTGCAGTTAACTAGATTGAAGCTCATGTGATTAAACTATACTGTTGTATATATGATTATGCGAGACAAAAAATATTAATGGGAAGAAAGAAATAAAGCGAGTAATTTTTCTCATTGACTCATGTGGAAGACCTTAAGATAGATGAGACTATATGATGATCGTAGGAGCTTTTTTATTTTTTTGGGAATCAAAAAGAAATGGGGGAAGTTCAAAGGTCATTGGCCCAAATCAAGACCTAAATAAAATATTTGGATTCTTAAGATTGGAAGAAGAGCCCAAGACTCTTATGGCTCTTATTGTGAACCCCAACAAAGTAGAGACCCATATTGAATAAGGCCGCAATCGCTTCCATTAACTCCCAATATAATTTAAGCTTTTCGGTAAAAAAAGAATTAATGCACCGTCCAACCATTATTTTTGGCATTTAAATCTTTCTCTTTACTTTTTCAATAATATCAGTCATATAACTAACCTCATATAGAGTTTGAAGTTGTATTAATTTTTTTTAATATAGTGCGTTCCTTCAAATTTAAAGAATATTTAAAAAGATATTTTATAAATCATTCACTATTAAAATCTCCACATGACAACAGGATTTGATCCTATAACTTTATGAGTTATAGGTTAAATTATTACCGTTGGACCAACCTTTGTTGGTGAGTTTGAAATCCTCACAACCAACAATTTAATGGATTGATGGCAGGAAAAAAACAATTAAAAATGGCATGAAGGAGTGATTAAGGAGTTTTTTTTAGCTTCTTTTTCAAGTAAAACACGCCACGATCAGTTTTAGGGCCAAAATAATAATCCTATATTATCCTAGTTTGAATAAATAAATAAATTTTTGACTTACAGTTACAGATGTATGATGTTTTGTGAACTGCTCCTATGATAGCTTGGAGTGACACAACAATAACTATAATAATAATAAGCCTTTATCTCATTAGGTGGGGTCGGTTATATGAATTGTAAGACGTCATTGTGCTTTATCATTTATCAAGATTTTAAAAATATTATTAATTAAGAGATTGCGTTTAACAACTTTTCAGAGTGTTCTCCTAGGCCTTCCTCTACTTCTCTTAATAAAGTTCAAAGTTATATGTTGCAATCTTCTCACTGGTGCCTCTTACGGTTTTCTTTATACATGCCCAAACCATCTCAAACGATTTTTTATAATTTTTTTTTCAATAGGTGCTACCCTCACTTTTTCACGTACATGCTCATTTTAAATTTTATCTTTACGTGTATGTCCGCACATCCATCGTAACATTCTCATCTTTACTACTCCAACTTTATGCTCTTATTGTCCCATTAGAACCCAGCATTCACTACTATATAACATAGCCGGTTTGATAGTAGTACAATAAAACTTTTTTTTAAGTTTATTAGGCACCTTACGATCGCAAATAACTCTTTTAGCTTTTCTCTAATTAAACCACCCATCTTGAATCCTATGTGAAATATTCCCACTGATTTCGCCATTATTTTGAATAATGGCTTCCAAATATCTAAACTTTTTTACTTGAGGTATAATTTGATCTCTTAATTTTACTTCTAAATTAATGTCGATTATTCTCTTACCAAATTTACAATATAAATATTCTATCTTACTTTTATTAAGATGAAAATCTTTCAACTTCAATGTCCTCCTCCATAACTCAAGTTTGCAATTAATCTCTTCTCTTATCTTTACTATAAGAACTATATCATCAGTGAAGAGTATACATTTGAGAATTTTTCCTTGACCGTCAAAACATTTAGGATCAAGTTAAACAAATAATGACTCAAAGATGATCCCTGATGTAGTCCAATCTTTATAGAAAAATCCTTTGTTTAATCATTAGATGTTCTTATACTAGTTTTTACCCCCTCATACATATCTTGTATGACTTTAATATAAGCAATCCGTTTAAGGCTTTTCAAAACACTTCTCTTAGTATACGGTCATAAGCTTTTTTTCAAATCAATAAAAATTATGTGTAAATATTTATCTTTACAATGATATTTTTTCACTAATCTCCTTAATAGATAAATCGTCTCTGTAGTTGATCTACTTGGCATAAAACCAAACTAATTCTCAAAAATACTTATCTCCAATCTCAACCTATACTCAATTACTTTCTCCCACAATTTCATTATGTGGCTTATGAGTTTAATCCATCTATAGTTAATACAATTCTGAATGTTTTCTTTATTTTTATAAATAGGAATTAATGTATTTCTCCTCCACTCCGGCATTTTCTTGGACCGTAAAATCACATTAAATAACTTAGTTAACCATCTTATCCCATCTTCATCTAAACATTTTGACACTCTGATAGATATACAATCAAGTCTGTTAGCTCTACCATTTGCTATTTTTTAAGAGCTTCCTTTACCTCCTTATCACATATTATTCGATAGAATGATAAATTTTGTTTTCATTCACGAGTTACTAAATCCTCCAAGTTACTAGATGAACCCTTTTCATCATTGAAAAGTTTGAAAAAGTGAGTCTCCCATCTGTTTTTAATTTTATTATCTGTAACTAAAATTCTTCCCTCTTCATCCTTTATACATCTTACCTGTTCTAGATCTTTTGATTTTCTTTTCCCACTCTTAGTAATTTTATGAACGTTTCGTTCTCCTTCCTTTATCTCAAAGCTCTTATGAAATTCTTTAAAAGCTTTAAAATGAGCTTCACTCACAGCTTTATTAGTTTTCTTCTTAGCCATACGATACTTCTCTCCATTTTTCTCATTGTTACACAAATGTATGGCTTTAAAATAGTTCTTTTTATGTTTGATTTTATTCTGTACACTATTATTCCATCACCAAGACTCTTTATCTCTTGGACCAAAATTTTTTACTTCTTCCAAAACTATTTTTGCAGCCTCCCTTATCTTTTTAGCCATATCCTCTCACAAGATGTTAGTATTTTTCTAAGATTCTCAAATTCCTTTGTTCAAAAGATTCTGCTTGAAAATATATTGTTTTTCACCTTTTAATTGTTACAACCTAATCCTTGGTGCTACTACTTATTGACATTTTTGAGTTTTACTCATAATACACACATCAAGGACAAGGATCCTATGTTGTGTTATTGCAGCATCCCCGAAAATCACCTTGTAATTTTTACAAAATCTTCTATCTGTGTTTCTAACCAAAAGAAAATCAATCTATGACTTTGAGGCTCTACTTTTGTAAGTTATGAGATGCTCATCTCTCTTTTTAAAATAAGTGTTGGTAATTTTAAAATTATAAACCAATAAAAAATTTATAAGAGTTTATCTTTCATTGTTTAGTTCTTCAAAACTAAAACCATCATATACCCTCACATAGTTTGGAGTGATAACAAAAAAAAAAAAAATACTGGCGGGGATCATTAGTCAGCAAAATAAATAAATAAAATTGTATGAGCTTTTCAATGATGATGATAAGAATGGTGTACAAGACATAGCTTATGAAGTAAATGGAGTAAATTAAATTTTTGTTTGCTTACCGAGAAAGAAAAAGAAAAAAAAAAACGAAGAAAACTTGCCGAAGTAGAGAAAAAGACCTCGTAAGGTAAAATATTTTGTATTTAATTCGAAGAGTGAAGGGAAAGAATGGCACGTTCAGAAATCAAAATTGATGAATGAACATCCATTAGGTGAAGAACGTACACTGGAAAGCTCAATCCCTTTGGCTTTTTCTTCAAACCAGACAGGGCTGACTCTTTACCACATACGATAAAAGTTAGGGAGGAAATTTCCTCATTGCTTGCGTAAAAGTTGCACATGAAATATAGTTCAGAACAATTCACCAACCAAACCCACAGTTCAAAATTCAAAACTAAGTATTTCACAAGCTTTTTGGACAGCCCCTGAGGAAGGACCGACCAGTAGGGACCACAGTGCCCGTAAATATTTACATTTTTTTTTCTTGATGCATATCTCTGGTCTCTTTTAAGATTTGTGGAAGTGTTGTAGTATAATGTTTTTCAATCTTGCTCCCTCTTTTAGTTGGATCCTGGCTGCTCTGTACAGGAGATATATTGGCAAACAAGTTTGAGTTTATTTTGTGAAGTTATCATCAATGTCTCTCTCTCTTTAAGGATTTTAATTTGTTGTTGACAGAATATTCTAGCTGGACGTAATGAAAATGACCTTGTGAGACCAGAGGAACCAATTCTCAAATATATACATACACACACACACACAGCACAGACCACAGAGTGGTGTATTTATTATTAGTTAATTAATAATCGACCATTCTTTTGGGAAACTTTAGAATACTGAGAAAATGAGGTCATTAAGGTTGCTTTTTCACCAAATTCGGATTTCATATTCTTCTCTCTCTCCGTTGCCCCTTAGAAAGGGATAAGATAAGACTCTCTTCTATTGTTGGATAAGACGCCCCTACGTTGAATTACAATCAGGAAAATCAGAAACAAACAAGACAGATGTTTTAGCTGTTGAGACTCAACTACGACGTCACTGGTCCCAATTTGAGATAGAGTTGGTTGACTATAAAATGAGTACCTTTTTTTCTTAAAGAAAATATTTTTGATTGTTCCTGTCTTTTTATTGGAACAATTTTGTTCCGGCATGATTGGGCACTGACGAACCTGTTGCTTATGTTATTTGTTGGGGCCATTTAGACTTAAGTTTGCTAATTAATTGTGATAAATTGGGGAGAAATGATGCATGTAACTTCACCAAGTCATTATTTGTCAAAATGCAGGAAAGGAAGAAAAAGAGCCCAAAGTTGGAATCAAAACAAGCGACTTTAGATCAAATGTAATATTCCAAAAATTTAAACTGATTTAATTAGACTGACTGAGAATGATTAAATAAATTAATATTGTGTGTAATCAAAAAGGGCTAATGAATGCCTTAAGTTGTGGTTTTAGCCTTAGATTTGTATTTGTAGTGAAGTCGGATTACTTAAACTTTAAAAAGAGGAGAAAATCAAAAAAGGGAAGCTTTGTACTACATGCTGGTGAGTACAACATGCATCAAGACACAATGAGCTTGAAAACATGAAAGGGACTTCTCTACATCACATACCACAGTATGTGTGACAAAACATTTCAGCGCATGTTACAAAATCTTGTTCAATCAAAGCGTCAAAACATGAGAAAAACATAAGAGTTGGGAGAGAAAAACAAAAAGCACAAACCTTTCTCTGCTAAAGCTTGGTGTTCTAGTAGATTAGGAGCATTTTGAGGCCTTCAATTACTTAAGATAAATTTTTTAAGTTCCTCTATCCTTTCCCTCTTTTCTTTTGAGAATTTTTAAGATAAGGTTTGTAATGGAAGAGTGATTTTTGAACTTATAAGATTATGGTTTTGAATCTATTGAGTTAAATAGAATTAATAAAAATTATTTAAATTATTTAAATTTACTATTAATAATTTTATGCATCTTTGAGCATGAGCTCATCATTATGGACCAAAATGGTAGTCGAAGAGTCATAAATATGGTTGTTGGGTAATAATGATAGCCATTAATGTTTTAGCTATTGAGCCTCAACGAGTGGATAAGCAAGAGTGTCGATAAATCCCTCGCCTCAATTACGTCAGTGTGCGGACCAACCTGGTAGAAATACATCCGTGCATGGAGAGTTTCACGACCTGCCTCTCGTCCACGCGTGGATGGGAATATACCACAGATGACAGTAATTTATGCATGGAGTGCTTTGATTTTTATGAAATAAAATGGACCGTTGGATTTAACTTTAAAAGGTGTAAAGCCCCCAGTTTGGGGTTCCTGAGGGCGTAAAATTCTATAAATAAACTCTATAAACACATGAGAGATACATTGATTCCCTTGGAGGCAATCCGAAAGGCTAAGTATGAGACTGGATAGCGGTCTGCCTAATCCAAGAGTGATTTTTCTGTGCTCATCTCTTATTCCATGCTTAATAATTTGATGAATTTGGGAATTGTTATGACTGAATTTATATTTAGTTTCTAAATCCCCAATGAAGGTAGAGAGTAACTCCTTTTACTCTTTTCTTGCTTCAATCTTTATTCATATTGTTCTAGATTTATTATTTTATAACCCTCTGAGAGTAATTTTTCAGTTTTAGTTACTTTTTCTTATTCTTCAATTTTAAGTTTATTTTTGGCCAATATATTTTCTGTTTGTAAGATTGCTTAATAAAATAAAAGGAGAACAGTGAGCCTAAACTTTAAAAAATAATCATAAATAACTATATTTGTGAAATCGATCAAAAACTAAATATAAGCATTTCTCCCAATAAAAATTTAAATATTAGTTTATTACATTATAAGAAATTAATTTCTTTCACAAGACTTAACCCCTGTTGGTTAAAAAAATATTTTAATTATATCTGTAATAGTTGACATTGTCATTGCTCATGGCGTGCTCAATAACCGTTGAAATAATATTTTTATTTTGAAGTATATATGGTCAATTCTATTCTATCTTCCTGCCAGATTACCTAAACAAATAATAATAAGTTGCCAATATTGCCCACACATTAATTATAAATGGCAAATGAAACATACAAGGAAGATGAAAATTAACGAAATAAACCAACAGAATGAGTTTTTTGGAGATAAAATAACTCACGCTTTAAACACAAAAAACGGGTGAAAATATAAAATAGGAGATGATGACCCAATCTTGATGTTAGGAATCTCCTTTTATTTTCCGTGAAGGATATCGAATGGTGCTTAACTGTCAAGCAAGTGTATGTATGTACGTGGCATGAGGTCAGAAATCAATCAGATCAAACAACACAAACAACAGTTGTGAGCCGCGAGTTAAGCTTTCTTCAAACGCTCCGCACATGATTCTTGTGTAGATTCATTTAATCAAATGTTTCGTGCAATTTCATTTATATGTCCTTTCAACATGCTATATTGCTATGCCAGGATTAAAAACAATTAAATTTATCGACTTTATCTAAAATTTTAATAAATTTTCAATCTCAAGATATATATAATTAATTTAACAAGATATTTTATCTGAACTCTAATATAATACATTTTTTAAAAATCCTGTTTAGTTCAAAATATAAGAAATTAAATATATTTATATATATATATATATATATATTTATTTTAATTATACATATGTTTTATTATATTTCACTCAAATAATTACTGAAATTATCTTGAATAAATCAAATATTATATTTATTATATTGGAATGAAGAGATATAATTTTTTAAAAAAAAAAGAAAAATTGAGATTTTAATCAATTTTTTATAAATGTAAATTATTTGTCAATTACTTATATTGTGGTTTGGAATGAATATATTTTATTTTACCAACATTTAATAAGGTGTAAAATTTAAAACTTATAATAAAAAATTAATCATATAGCTTATATATATATGAAAAAAAAAATGTTATTGGGGGAGTATAACTATGCTCACGCCGCACACATTCAAAAAGACAGCTAATACATAGATGGAGTAAGAATGCGAGATTGCGTGAATTGTTACCGAGCAAACAGCAGTTGGGCGATTTGTGAATAAAATAATGGAGACGAAAAAATTGGTTAATGTCATTCATTATTGCAATCACATTGACATGGAAAAGGAATAATAAAAGGAAGGAGAGTCAAAGAAGGCGATAATGTTGCCTCCTCCCTTCCTTTTTCTCTGCTCTGATTCACCCTTTTGACTTTGACCAGAAACACTATTTTTATTTTAAACGGTTTTTGCCTCTTTGATTCATGCGACGCAACGCCTGACTTCATCTTTTGTTTAATTTCTGTTCCAATACATCTCTTTCCTTAATATTCATTCCACCCACACTCCCAATATACTTTCTCAATGCTTTCATTTTTCATATGCTCATATACCTTTCTTTTTCAAACTAAAAGAGGAGCAACTTTATATCACAATACCCACTGTTACATGGGTTATGAGGTGTTCAAACAGCACAAGTAATAAATAATATTTCTTCTGTTAAAAAAATATGAGATATTTTTTAAAGAGTTAGATGTTAAAAATATAAAATATTTTTAATTTTTTGAGATATAATCATTATTTTTTTTAAAACGCACCTATTGATAATAATTTTATATTTATTATAGGGTATTTAATAAAGATCAATATAGAAAGATAGAATTAGTTTGAAAGTAGATAACTACTTTATTAAAATAAAATTTGATTAAAAATATTTTATATTTTTTAATGGAGGAAGTATTCCCACCATGTTTAAATATAAAAGAAAATAATTGATTCACACAATTTAAGAAAATTAATTAAGTATAATAATTGTATATAAAATTAAAAAATTTTGAACATGAAACAAATTTGTTTAGTAAAAAAATTATTGACTTTATAAGGAACTTTAAAAAGAAAAGTAATAAATTCTTTTTAAAATTTTTTATTTTTTTATAAATAAAAATAAAAAGACACATGGTGTTTTGTCTTATATTCAAAAGTGGAGGGAGTATAATATACCTCTAGTTTCACTTGCACTAGAACTATAGTATACGTCACTTTTTTTAATTTATGTATTTTTATCTTAAATCACGAATTGTTTACATTCGTTTTGATAACAACAAAATTCCTATGCTCTCATACGAGCAGTGGGGAGTGTAAAAGACCAATAGCAAAACATCTCAAATGGCGTATCTGATTGTATAGAAAAACAGGAGTTCTGAAGCCAGATTTAAAATGTGTCTTAAAGATGGATCTTGGGAATTTCAAAGTGCTTAGCGTTATTATTTGACGAACAACGATTGTTTGAAGAGCCATTCTAATTGATGTCAATTTAATTCTCAGGTTTTTTTTATTGGTCAAACAATTTAATTCTCAGTTCATTATGATATCTTCTTGTTTTTTTTTTTCAAAAAAAAGTTGCACACGCGCGGGGCGAAATTAAGGTGTAATTTGTAAATGTAACGCGAAGGGCAGGTGTGGTCAAAGTACGAAGGGTGCTCCTTGAAGGCAGATTCATCCTCGTGGCCAACTTTTGTTGCCTAATAATAAAGGGCCACTCCGTGTTCTTTCCAATTTTTTTTTTTTTTTGGGTTATTGGACTTTTCGAAGATGATGAACTCGACTGTTCATAAAACTCACCGTGCGCATGCTAATTAAATCAATTTTAGAACTAATAAGCAAATATTTATTATGATGAAAATAACATATATTAGCATCTGAATTTTTTAATTTTCAACGCATCATTAATTGTTTGCGTGGAATTAAAAAAATTGAAGAAACAGGATGATCCGGCCTTGGCGCAGAAACGCGGGGACGAGATTTTTTTATTATTATTATTATTTTTTTACCTGCGGGGACGAGATTTTGAGATGTTATTATTTATCAGAAGTATATTTTATATTTTAAATACAACACATTATTCTCTTTTCTTTCGAGCAGGGGCCGCCGTGAGCAGGCTCGGCCAGACAAGGACAGCTGCAGAGTAGGGAGAGAGGGAGGGATAGAGAGAGAGAGAGAGAGAGATTGCAGAGAGAAAAGAGAAAACTCGGTGAAAACAAACAAACAGGGGCACCTGATCCATCTTCCACTCGCAGTCGCAGACCATTTCCTTAATCTCTTCTCTCCGACTCTGTGTACCGTACCACCTGGTCTCTTCTCTCTCTCGCCCCCGGTTGTTGTTCTACTTGTATCCACCCCACCAACATTTCTTCCCCTTCTTCTAATCTTCTTCTTCGTCTGTGTATATATATATACATATATTCACTCTCCTTCGTAATTCATAATCCCCATCCCCGATTTGCTTCAATTTACCCCCCAATTCCCTCATTTTCACCCATATTTACTCATTTTCAACATGAGTTCCCATCCCCCCGGCGCCGCCGCCGCCGCCGCCGCCGTTCACGGTCATAACTCCACCAGGAGACTGCCCGACTTCTTGCAGAGCGTCAATCTCAAGTACGTGAAGCTGGGCTACCATTACCTGATGACCCATTTCTTGACCCTCCTTCTGATCCCGCTCGCCGCCGTCATTTTTGTCCAGGCTTCTCAGACCAACCCCGACGACCTTCGCAGCCTCTGGCTCCACCTCCAGTACAACCTCGTCACCATCATCGCCTGCTCCGCTTTCCTGGTTTTCGGATCCACCGTTTACATCATGACCCGACCCAGATCCGTCTACCTCGTGGACTTCTCCTGCTACCTCCCTCCCCCGCATCACCGGGCGAAATTCTCTCAGTTCATGGAACACTCCAGGCTCACCGGCGACTTCGATGAGTCCTCCCTCGAATTCCAGCGCAAGATTCTAGAACGCTCTGGGCTAGGAGAAGAAACGTGCGTCCCTGAAGCTATGCATCACATACCCCCGAGGCCTTCAATGGCGGCCGCGAGGGAAGAAGCAGAGCAGGTGATGTTCGGAGCATTAGACAACCTGTTCGCCAACACCAGCGTCAAGCCCAAAAACATCGGAATCCTCGTGGTGAACTGCAGCTTGTTCAATCCGACGCCGTCGCTTTCCGCGATGATAGTGAACAAGTACAAATTAAGAGGGAACATCAGGAGCTTCAATCTCGGAGGCATGGGATGCAGTGCAGGGGTCATAGCCATTGATCTAGCCAAAGACATGCTTCAAGTTCACAGGAACACGTATGCTGTCGTGGTCAGCACCGAGAACATCACCCAGAATTGGTATTTTGGGAACAAGAAATCCATGTTGATCCCAAATTGCTTGTTTCGAGTTGGTGGGGCTGCGATTTTGCTATCCAATAAAGGATCAGATAAGAGAAGATCCAAGTATAAGCTTGTTCATGTGGTGAGAACTCACAAAGGAGCAGATGATAAAGCCTTCAAATGTGTGTATCAGGAACAAGACGAAGCAGGCAAAACGGGGGTTTCTCTGTCAAAAGATCTCATGGCCATTGCAGGTACTCGCCGTCGCATGATTTAACTTGTTTTCTGCATTTTGCCACCTAATAAAGTAAGTGTAAGATTAGCAGTTCACAGAAATCGCCTAGTTCGAGAATCTAAAGGGTAATTTTATTGAATCACAATCCAAAACGAATTGACGAATGGTGGCAATTACAGGAGGAGCACTGAAGACAAACATAACAACACTGGGTCCTCTGGTTCTGCCAATAAGCGAGCAGCTTCTGTTCTTCGCGACACTCATGGCCAAGAAGATATTCAAGGCGAAACTAAACGCATACATACCAGATTTCAAGCTGGCATTCGAGCATTTCTGCATCCACGCCGGCGGGAGGGCAGTGATCGAGGAGCTGGAGAAGAATCTAGATCTGGAGCCGCACCACGTAGAAGCTTCGAGAATGACGCTTCACAGATTCGGGAACACATCGTCGAGCTCAATCTGGTACGAATTGGCATACACAGAAGCGAAAGGAAGAATGAGAAAGGGGAACAGGGTTTGGCAAATTGCGTTTGGGAGCGGATTTAAGTGTAACAGTGCAGTGTGGAAAGCGCTGCGAAACGTGAAGCCATCGCCCAAGAATCCATGGGAGGATTGCATCCATAGGTACCCTGTTCAGATTCTTTCTTAGATTTAATTAAATTGATTGATGATCAATATTATTATTTGTAGGTAGTAATTGATATTGATGATGATGGGTTCTGTGTAGGATTGGATTTGATCTCAACCCTAGATTTATTATTACCTTATTATTTTGGTCATTATTACTCAGTTTTGTATTAATCATTAGTGCTGTACTATCATGCATGTATTTCTTTATTCTTTATTCCCCCCCCCCCTCTTTGCCTTATAATGTCAGATTATGCGCATTCACTGTTACGATATTCAATTAACGGTTTATCATGCATTTTACTCCTGCTACTAATACAATGGTTTAATGCATTCAAAATTTTAATTTCTTAAATAATAATAGAATTCAACTCGATAAAGAAGAGATGTTACACCCTCAATTGTCTAATATAAGCAGTAAGTTCTTTTTACCGGAATTAATATAAGCAGCAAAGTTAAGAGAATCTTTTGTTATCAACGTATAAGAAATATCACAAACTTCCATGAATATTGGTCCCAATCTTTGCAAAAATATTTACATATATGATAAATAATCATTACATTATCCATTTTCTAATAAAGATAATACTCACATGCTCAATTACATGTCATTAAATTAATACTATTTTTTTATATTGACTCTTATTTAATAACACACTTCACCATTAAAAAATATAAAATAATATATTTAATAATGACATTTTAAAAAAATAATGACTACATTTTTAAAAATTTAAAATATTTTATATTTTTTAATATTTAACATTTAAAAAATTATATTTTTAAATAGAAGGAGCATAAAATACAGTTTAGATATTAAATAATTAAACTATTTGTAATGTATGTGTAGTGCGGCTATCTCAGTAACATGAATCATCCAAAACTCAAGTGAATTGACATGAGAATTCTCATGGATGATTTACATATTAAACGTATGCCTGACTTATTTGTAGACTCCTAAGTAATAAATTTACAATTGGGAAAATGAAGAACAGTAGAAGAGCTGCAATTTTTATTTTTTTTTATTTTAAAAAAAGGAATAGAAGAGAGAAAGTGCGCCGAAGTTGCAGATCCGTTATATTGTGAATCCCAAGCATTATCGATATCAAAACTGTTCACTGTCAGTAAAAGTTGTCTTTTAAATTTTTTTTTTAAAGGTATCTTTTGTTACGGTTTAATTGGAAAAGGCAAATGGCCAGCTTGCCCCTGTCTCTGAGTATTATTTTGGAGATAAAAGAGTGTCAATGAATGAAAGAGAGAGAGAGGCAGAGGCTATAAAATTCCGGTCAAGTAACCCAATAACCACATGGTAAATGGATTCGTGGTCCAATGCCCAAGTTAGGGTTCGTCATTTCAGTACACTAATTAATTGGCCATTTATTAGCAACCCCCTCAGCCAAAAATAATAGCCCCAGAATTCCTCGTACCCTTATCTGCTGAAGAGAGGAACTTGGGAACACATTTTGTTGTAAACAGCTCGTTGATTTTACTATAAAGCTACAATTCTAGATGATTTTTGGTTGATTATAAAATATGTAATTTAAGCTCTTAAGACCTATGGAATTCTTTTTGTTTTTTGTTTTGGTCTGAAATGCTGGACTTCTTATGATATGAAAGCATAATATTTTTCTAAAAAATCCAAATAACAAAACTAAATATTAGTTTTCTGGTTCATACGGTCACACTATTTAAAATTTAAATGGGAGAATTGCATATAAAGCCGAAACAAAATAATTGGTCTTGAGATACAATAAATTCTAACAAGGCACAGCAGGTTGGAATGCTTCATGTTCAATCACTGTTTTCGTTACCTCCATCTCTACCTCATTTCCATCTCCTTAGGGCCACACCCCAATTTACCGTTTCCCTCTCTGATTCCTCCAGACATCTGATCTTGAGGAGGACGAGGCTGTTCTCGAAGAAAATGAGGTATGGAGTTCTCAAGTTGAATGCTGAGAAGAGACCCAGAATGAAAGGGAGGTTCGTGAAGAGAGCCTCTTTCACCGTCACAGCACCACCTTCCTTTCCTCTGCTCAGCAAATTAATCAAGTCAAAGCCTTTCTTTGATTTAATTTTCAGCTTTGCTAGCTATCCACTTGCTTCCCCTGCCATTAAATTTTGCCATGCCTCATGGTTATATATATTCCACCCTCTGCCAAACTTGATGCGTACACAGTTCCGATATTCATGAATGAATGAATAATTAATGGAGCCTTTTGAGTTATATAACTTGTTGATTATCGACTGCATGGCTATCTTTTCAAGTTCTTCAAGTTATATTGACAGAAAGCATGCAAGCTACCTTTTCTCCGTCGCCGCCTCTTCCCTTTCATCTCTTCTCTCTTCCTCGCCAATGTTGGTTTGAGAGCTTTGGGTTTTGGGTTTTGCAGATTGGGATCGAACCAAGGGTGAGCGGGATTTTAGATTAGGGGTAGTTTGGTATTTTTATCCTGAAAATTAATTGTTTAAGCAATTTTCTTGGTTCTCAAGGCACTATATGCGATTCTTCCAATTTAAATTACCTTTGATAATGGGATGCAAAACTAATAGTCCTTGCAATAAATTCCCTTCATTATCCCTATTTTTTTTAATAATTTTTATATATTTTTATTTTAATAAATGCAATATTAAAAATTAAAATATATGATCTCCTAACTAGTTGGAACTTCACAAATCCTATATCAAAAGTCAGAACAAATTAACTAACTCTATTTAAAAATTTAATAATTTCTTAATTTCATCCTCTTTTTTTTTTTTTTTTTGAATGGGAATGGATTGTCATTGAACAAATGGGTACAGCGGACAAGAAAGGACAGAGAAGCACGTTAAGTAGCATGATCAATCCATCTCACGCGTTTTGACACCGGTTAACTTTATTTTTATAAAATATATTTTAATAATAAAAATAAAAAATTTATAATAAAAATTAAGCGAGATATCTCATAAATAAATAAAAAATCTCCCTCTCTTTTATAAATAAAACTGAATGAGGGTTCTTTTAAAAAGAATTAAAAATTAAAAATTTTAATATTAAATTTAACTTTCTAAATTAAATATGAATGAGATTAATTATGAAAATCTTTATTAAAATTTTTTACAATTTTTACAAAATAAAAATAAAATTAATGTTTAATTCTGAACTTTCCAGATTTCATTACCCTCGAAACATCCACCTCCACACTGCTCCATAGACAGGGATCTGGATTCTGTCAATAGCCTCTTTTTCTCCTTTTCTTCTCCTAATCTCATCTTCATTCTTTAAGCAACAAAGTTAACAGCTTAGATTTAATTTTTTATTAAAAAACTTAATTTTTATAAAATAATTTTCATATAAAAAATAAATTTAAACTGTCAAAAATTAACCTACACAGTCTACTGTTATTAAAATTATTTTGGTCAAACTGTTATTAAAATTGTTTGTTTATTTGTTTTATTTTAATTATACATTGTGCATGTTAAATTTTAACTAATTGAAATTATTTGTTTGTTTTATGGAGGAACGTTTGGTTCAAGGAAAGAATTAAATTAATTTATTTTGTATCTTTGAATTTGAATCTTGAAAAATACAACGTATATGATGTACTCCTTAAGTATTTGAGGGGCTAGTTCGGTAACAACAGTATTATATAGTTTTTTTTTTAAACAAAAAAACCAACTCAGTCCTCCATAGTTGGGTTTCGAAATAGTTTGGACATTCTCTTCAAGTGAAGATGGGAGAGAAGAGAAGGGAAAGAAAAAGGGCGGCACAAAGAAGCGCAAGGAATGGCCGCGGAGAGAATCTGCTTCGTCATAGACGGTCATACCCCCCCTTCAATGCCTGACATCGTACTGAGCTTAGATAGAGAGAAAAGTTCGAGACTGACCCAAATATTCTCTCTCAAGATATTTAGGATTCACATTAGGTTTCCTGAAGATAATTTTTAACATTCCAACAAAAACGGGAATAGAAATCTTACTCGCCTTCAGTGCACAGATTCGAAACGTCAGAAGCCTGCGAAATATAAGGTAAAACACAACGACATATGATAATGCTCCGCAGAAATTCTGAATTTCTGACTATATTGATCGTTTATAAACAACCAGTACACAATTCAGAGGTCAAAAAAGGAGAACCAGGAACATGAACCCATATCGGAAACCAGGACATTCGAACAACCAGAAGTAACCACTAGAACAGAATCGGAAACCCCACCCCAACCCCACACAACCCTCGAACTTGAAATCGAACTACTGATACCAACGATATTTGACCAACTCTAGTTCCTCCAGCTACCGTCGGAAGCACCTCCGCCTCTGGAGTAGCGAGATCCACCATCACCGTAGCCTCCTCGCTCACGACCGCCACCATAACCACCACCGTAGCCACCGCCACCCCCATAGCCTCCACCGTTACGGTTATATCCACCTTCACGACGGCCTCCGCCTCCGTATCCGCCTCCACCACGGCTGTAGCCTCCACCTCCACCGTATCCGCCACCTCCACCGCCATATCCGCCGCCTCCTCCGCCGCCGCCTCGGCCACGAGATTGAGCCTCGTTCACCGTAATATTACGACCATCGAGATCCTGACCGTTCATCCCCTCGATAGCATCTCTCATGGCCTGCTCAGACGAGAAGGTTACAAATCCGAATCCTCTTGACCTGCCAGTCTCGCGATCATTAATAACCTATAAAAAAAGACCGAGAGTCGCGTCAGACAAAGCACAAAGAACACCAAAACCAGATCCAGAAAGACAGAAATAGAAACGCATCAAAATCGATCGATCTTCGCCTTTGGCACAAAGATGAAGATGAACGTACCGATGGGTGTGAGTAATAAAAGAATCAAGATAGTAACACAAAGATGAGAGATCAAGTAGTAACGCAAACAGATCAGAGAACACAGATCAGATGGGATCCAGAAAATCCAAATCCGCATCGGGTCAGATCCGATCCCTGCAACAAACGGACCTTCGATTCGATGATCTCGCCAAAGGGAGCAAAGGCCTTCTCAAGGGCCTCGCTGTCGGTGGCCCATGCGAGCCCCCCGACGAAGCACCTGTATTCAACTTCTGCGGACGCCATAGATCTGAGAAAGAGGGGGTCGAAACCCTAGAAATGGGACAGAAAGTGGAAAAGGAGGATTAACAAGAACCCACCCAAAGGAGAAGAGAACACGAAGAAAAGTTGAGAACCCCAAGGCCAATTATATAGCCGGGATTTTTTAACTATAGTTAAGGAGAACGGAGTCCCGCTCCTATACGGCCAGCGTACTAACCAGGGTTAGATCAACGGCCGGTTATTGGCCTATTTGGATGTTTGTTTGGATACCGATTTTAAGCTTTCGTTAGTCCGATCTCCGAGTCAGCCAGGTCTGTTTAAATTGTTTTCCACCCTCTTCTACTGTTCTTGTATTACTATCACTGGCAAGTCTTTTAAACAAGATTATTTTTTATTTTCTTAATCATTTAATTATGTTTAATAATTTTTTAATGTAATTATAGTCATTAGTAAATTATATTTTTATTGGTAGTTAAGATTATTTATTTTTCAAACTGTATTATGCGATACTAGTAAGTTTTTGATTTATCATATTTTAATAAAAATTTAAGTAATTAATATATAAAAAATCCTATGTGCGTACTTTTCTTCATTTTCATGTTTGTATTTAGCTTGTTCATAGTCATAATAGAGCGCGTGCCTTGTATGAAGTTTTTCTTTTAAGCATTATATTTATAAATATTACACACACACAAATATGTGTGTGTATATATATATATATAATATATATTAATTAATAGTTATGACTTTTTAAAACACATGATTCCAGCTGAATTTTGGATCCAGTACGATGTATAGAAAATTAACATTACTGTGCTTTGATTGACTGATTGTTACTGTTGCTTTTGTTTTGGGGTAGTTTCTGATAATTTCTTCCCTTCCCACGTGGAGTTTGAACAGTTCAACATGGGGAGGAAGACAACGCGTACGTACTTGAGCAGCGATGAGAAAAAAATTGGGACCTGTTTGAAATTCTTTTCATTTTATTATTTTTAAAATTGATGTTTCATAACAATAATTTTAAAATATTTAAAAAATATTTTAAATTTTTAAAAAAATATTTTATTTTTATTTTTCAAAAAAATTTTGAAAATATATTACTAAACATATTTTTCTGTTTTTTTTCTTATTTTGAAGAATAAAAAAATTACTTTTAAAATAAATTGTTAAATAGGCTCTTATTTTTTAAAAATTAATGATAGTGATTAGTAGTAATAGTTTTTAAGGGTTCTGTTTATTAGATGAGAAGGAAATGTTTATTTTAATTCTGTTTATAAAACATCTTAATAATTATTATATTTATTTTTATCAATTTATTCTTGTTAAATATAAAAAAAGGTGATTAACTATAATTTTTTATTTTAAAAGAAATAAATTTATGAGAATAAAATTAAAAAGTTATTAAATTTTTAACCAGAATTTATAAAATTTAAAAATGTCTATTTTAATAAAAATACTAAAAATGATTTATAAAATAGAATAAAAACGAGCAGGAGTGATTGGTTACACTGATTAGGGTGAAGAGATAAAGGTAGCAAAAACTGTGTAAGTGGGTCCCAAAGTCACGTGACAAAGCTGCAGTGGCGGTGGGTTCGAGATATCGACAACGAAAGCAACAGATATTTTACCGCTCCAAAATATCTGACGCTTCTTCCTATAAAATATCTTATTCCTTCAAGTACAATTTTGCCCCCACTACTTTGCCGAATTCCTGGCTACCCCGATTCCCCACTGAGGTGAAGAATTAGGGGTAAGACTACGCTTTCCTTAATTTAAACGACGGGAGTCTAATCGTAGCCCTGCTTCACCACGTCGTAGCTGTGCCATGTGTGATGCCGACAGTGATATCGACAATGAAACGAGCGGGATCAAATCTGGCTGTCTGACTTGCAAATCGGTTGGAAGAGTCACATGAAGGCCGGATCAATCTGTTTTGTGGTTTCCAATTTCAAGCTCGAAATTAAGGGTGTTCAGTCATTCTGATTAATTTAATATCCTCCCGATATCTTATCCCCATTCAAAAATAATCAAGGACTTTAAAAGATAAGATAAAAAAAAAAATTCGAGACGGGATACAATATGAAATTATCACCGAGACATTCTGTCTTATCCTGAATATTATACATATTATTTTTTATTTTAATTATATTAATATAATTTATATTTATATTAATTATAATTTTAATACTTGTAATTCTTATTTAAAATTAAAGTTTTTTTATATTGATAATTTTAATGGCATGGAGTAAACATAGCGATATCTTTCTTTATAATATATTAATATAATTTATTCTTATATCTATCTATTTAATAACTTTTATTTATAACATATTTCTTTCTTATTTTTAGAAGAGTAATTAGCTTAGTACATTTTCACTAAAGTAGAAAAATAATGATTTGATGTTGTGTTTGATTTGCCTGTTATTGCTAATCTTATAACATAAAGATCACTTCTATTTGTTATTATAATATGTAGTTGTGATTAATATAATTCAATAATTGATTTTAAATTATTGTTATTTATGTGCTTGTATTGTTTTAATTTTAAACTTAATAAATTATATGATTTAAAATTTTAATGAACGTTATTATTCAAATCTTTTTTCGATATTATTCTATTTATTGGGACGGTAGGACGTCCTGATCTTGTCTCGATCACGTCTCGACTCTTAACGGGACAAGATGACTTTTAGGACGGGACGGAACACGGGACCAAAATTCAATCCAATCTTTTTTTGGGGATGGGACACGGGACGGGGGTGTCTCGGTCCCGTCCTATCCTGTGAACACCCTTACTCGAAATAATTACAGGCGAATCTACAACATTTTCTTAGTAATTCTATTCTATTACTACTTGTTTGGCCCAAAATAAGATAAGGTTTAATTAAAAATAATAATATTTTTTTGAAATATATAAATAATAATTTGATATCTTAAAATGCAATAATTTTTTTTAAAATCTCTAAAAAAATTTCTGTCATTAATTAATTTACATAAACTATTAAATTGTTCTTGTTGGAAATAAATGATTCACAAGTTTTGTTTAAATATTTACAACTTTTCTTCTTATATTCACAATAATACGAGAACAAATAAGGAATTAACATACACTTGTTTGGCCCAAAATAAGATAAGGTTTAATTAAAAATAATAATAATTTTTTTTGAAATATATAAATAATAATTTGATATCTCAAAATGCAATAATTTTTTAAAAATCTCTAAAAAATTTTCTGTCATTAATTAATTTACATAAATTATCAAATTGTTCTTGTTGGAAATAAATAATTTAAAAATTCTGTTTAAATATTCACAATTTTTTTCTTATATTCACAATAATACGAGAACAAATAAGGAAATAACATACAAAATGTATGTTATTTCCTTATTTGTTCTCGTATTATTGTGAATATAAGAAGAAAAGTTGTGAATATTTAAACAAAACTTGTGAATCATTTATTTCCAATAAGGATAATTTAGTTATTCATATAAATTTATTAATGACAGAAAAGTCTTTACAAATTTTAGGAGAATTATGGCATTTTAAGTGACCAAATTATCAGGTGATGCTCCGATTACAGTAGCTAGTAATTTTTTTTTAAAATATTTGAACTAAGAGTATTTTGGTCTTTTTCACTTTCAACTTATTTTTAATTTAATCCCTGAGGACTGAATTGAGGTTTTAAAATTTTTTGGAAGCCACTAGAAAATAAATTCCTTCTCAAGTACTTAAATGAACTTCTCCCAATTAGATATATCTTCCACGAGTACTTTGGAATAACTTGAGAGTAATAAATAATTGAATATAAATTTTAAATGACTCTAATTCTTCAAATTATAGTAAATTCTTTACTACCATGGTAGGATATGATTAAGTATGAGTATTGGGTTGGGGTTGTTTCACCATGTGACAAATATAATGTGATGCATGATCAACTCGATCTTTATATCCTGTTGATATCTCTGATTAAAATCATAGGCTATTTAAAACAAACATGACTTCATTCATGTAAATAGACTACCCAAACTCACTAATCATTAAGAGCAACCAGTCAAAGATCATTATACTCATTCTTAGACCACAGTTTTCCCTAATTTTGAATCTTTAAGGTATCATAAACCCTATGCTAGTCTTCTCGGAGAATATGTGGAGACAAGTTAGGTTTAAGTCTCTAGATAAATAGTGAGATAAGGGCTAGTCTTTGATTACAAAAAGATGGCCATATCATATGGATTTACCTACTCCTTTCTCTAGTCAAACTCTCGCCAATATGACCATGCAACAACTCATGTTACACATATAGCATGTTATAATTCAGATCAATGTGCTCAAATGATAACTAGCATGAATTAGGCTAAAATCATCTAAGTATCATCTGTATATCAGAATCATCAACTCATTACATTAAACATTTACCACTACATTAATCTCATTCTCAAACTCACATATCTCAATCATCTCAAATGAGCACGTAAGCTTACACATTGCTTTTCCACATATTCATATTACATTTATATATTTTCACATTAGTGTAGCATTACATGAAATCAATAATTATGGATAACTTACAACATATATAAATAGTTTTTCATCACGACCATAATCAAGCCAAAACACCTGATTTTTCTAAAAATTATTATCACAAACCCTATATAATTTAATTTCACATGTTCAAAAACATATACATTCAAATCACAGTCAATTAACATTAAATTTCTTCTGGTTATCTTAAACCTTTTAGAGATTAAAGATTTACTTCTCAAACACAATTGCTTCTAGAGCTATTTATCAAGCTGAATTGATGCATGGAATGATTTAATCTATAATTAATCATACTCATAACCATTAATATCACCATTAATACAAATTTAACTTACAAACCCAACGCTTTAAATACCTAATTTATCTCTTGTGTTTGAGTTCAACCATTGAGTTTATCAACTCTCTTTGGTTCATATTAACTCCACTAGACACTTTGCTCATCATTAATGGCCCTTAACAACCTCCAACTGTCATTGTTAATGCCAATTTTTAGACATGGATGTTCCTAATAATGAAAAATGAGTAAAGCCTTCAATCATAAATTTAAATGAGTAGAGCCTTCAATCATAAATTTAAATAAT